CCATCCACGTCTCTACAAATGACTCAGTTTCATTCCTTTTTATGGCTGAGTAATATTCCATTGTATATATGTACCACATCTTCCTTATCCATTCGTCTGTCGGTGGGCATTTAGGTTGCTTCCATGACCTGGCTACTGTAAATAGTGCTGCAGTGAACATTGGGGTGCATGTGTCTTTTTGAATTTTGGTTTTCTCAGGGTATATGCCCAGTAGTGGGATTGCTGGGTCATATTGTAATTCAATTTTTACTTTTTTAAGGAACCTCCATACTGTTCTCCATAGTGGCTGTATCAATTTACATTCCCACCAACAGTGCAAGAGGGTTCCCTTTTCTCCACACCCTCTCCAGCATTTGTTGTTTCTAGATTTTCTGATGATGCCCATTCTAACTGGTGTGAGGTGATACCTCATTGTAGTTTTGATTTGCATTTCTCTAATAATTAGTGATGTTGAGCAGCTTTTCATATGCTTCTTGGCCATCTGTATGTCTTCTTTGGAGAGATATCTATTTAGGTCTTCTGCCCAGTTTTGGATTGGGTTTTTGTTTTTTTAATATTGAGCTGCATAAGCTGTTTATATATTTTGGAGATTAATCCTTTGTCCGTTGCTTCGTTTGCAGATATTTTCTCCCATTCTGAGGGTTGTCTTTTCGTCTTGTTTATAGTTTCCTTTGCTGTGCAAAAGCTTTTGAGTTTCATTAGGTCCCATTTGTTTATTTTTGTTTTTATTTCCATTACTCTAGGAGGTGGGTCAAAAAATATTTTGCTGTGATTTAGGTCAAAGAGTATTTTTCCTATGTTTTCCTCTAGGAGTTTTATAGAGTCCAGTCTTACATTTAGGTCTTTAATACATTTGGAGTTTATTTTTGTATATGGTGTTAGGGAGTGTTCTCATTTCATTCTTTTACATGTAGCTGTCCAGTTTTCCCAGCCCCACTTATTGAAGAGGCTGTCTTTTCTCCATCGTATATCCTTGCCTCCATTGTCGTAGATTAGTTGACCATATGTGCGTGGGTTTATCTCTGGGCTTTCTATCCTGTTCCATTGATCTATATTTCTGTTTTTGTGCCAGTACCATACTGTCTTCATTACTCTAGCTTTGTAGTATAGTCTGAAGTAAGGGAGCCTGATTCTTCCAGCTCCATTTTTTTCCCTCAAGACTGCTTTGGCTATTTGGGGTCTCTTTTGTCTCCATACAAATTTTAAGATTTTTTGTTCTAGTTCTGTAAAAAATTCCATTGGTAATTTGATACGGATTGCATTGAATCTGTAGATTGCTTTGGGTAGTATAATCATTTTCACAATATTGATTCTTCCAGTCCAAGAACATGGTATATCTCTCCAGCTATTTGTATCATCTTTAATTTCTTTCATCAGTGTCATAGTTTTCTGCATACAGGTCTTTTGTCTTCCTAGGTAGGTTTATTCCTAGGTTTTTATTCTTTATGTGGCAATGGTAAAAGGGAGTGATTCCTTAATTTCTCTTTCAGATTTTTCATCATTAGTGTATACGAATGCGAGAGATTTCTGTGCATTAATTTTGTATCCTGCAAATTTACCAAATTCATTGATGAGCTCTAGTAGTTTTCTGGCAGCATCTTTAGGATTCTCTATGTATAGTATCATGTCATCTGCAAACAGTGACAGTTTTACTTCTTCTTTTCTGATTTGGATTCCTTTTATTTCTTTTTCTTCTCTGATTGCCGTGGCTAGGACTTCCAAAACTCTGTTGAATAAGAGTGGTGAGAGTAGACATCCTCGTCTTGTTCCTGATCTTACAGGAAATGCTTTCAGTTTTTCACCATCGAGAATGATGTTTGCTGTGGGTTTGTCATATATGGCCTTTATTATGTTGGGGTAGGTTCCCTCTATGCCCACTTTCTGGAGAGTTTTTATCATAAATGGGTATTGAATTTTGTCAAAAGGTTTTTCTGCATCTATTGAGATGATCATATGGTTTTTATTCTTCAGTTTGTTAATATGGTGTATCACGTTGATTGATTTGCATATATTGAAGAATCCTTGTATCCCTGGGATAAATCTCACTTGATCATGGTGTATGATCCTTTAATGTGTTGTTGGATTCTGTTTGCTAGTATTTTGTTGAGAATTTTGGCATCTATATTCATCAGTGATATTGGTCTGTAATTTTCTTTTCTTTTTTTTTTTTTTGCGGTACACAGGCCTCTCACTGCTGTGGCCTCTCCCGTTGCGGAACACAGGCTCCGGACGCGCAGGCCCAGCGGCCATGGCTCACGGGCCCAGCCACTCCGCGGCATGTGGGATCCTCCCGAACCGGGGCACGAACCCGTGTCCCCCGCATCAGCAGGGGGACTCTCAACCTCTGCGCCACCAGGGAAGCCCTGTAATTTTCTTTTTTTGTAGTATCTTTGTCTGGTTTTGGTATCAGGGTGATGGCAGCCTCAGAGAATGAGTTTGGGAGTGTTCCTTCCCCTGCAATTTTTTGGAAGAGTTTGAGAAGGATGGGTGTTAGCTCTTCTCTAAATGTTTGATAGAATTCACCTGTGAAGCCATCTGGTCCTAGACTTTTGTTTGTTGGAAGATTTTTAATCACAGTTTCAATTTCATTACTTGTGATTGGTCTGTTCATATTTTCTATTTCTTCCTGGTTCAGTCTTGGAGGGTTATCCCTTTCTAAGAATTTGTCCATTTCTTCCAGGTTGTCCATTTTATTGGCATAGATTTGCTTGTAGTAGTCTCTTAGGATGCTTTGTATTTCTGCAGTGTCTGTCGTAACTTCTTTTTCATTTCTAATTTTATTGACTTGAGTCCTCTCTCTCTTTTTCTTGATGAGTCTGGCTAATGGTTTATCAATTTTGTTTATCTTCTCAAAGAACCAGCTTTTAGTTTTATTGATATTTGTTATTGTTTTCTTTGTTTCTATTTCATTTATTTCTGCTCTGATCTTTATGATTTCTTTCCATCTACTAACTTTGAGTTTTGTTTGTTCTTCTTTCTCTAGTTCCGTTAGATTGTTTACTTGAGATTTTTCTTGTTTCTTGAAGTAGGCTTGTATTGCTCTAAACTTCCCTCTTAGAACTGCTTTTGCTGCATCCCATAGGTTTTGGATCGTCGTGTTTTCCTTGTCATTTGTCTCTAGGTATTTTTTGATTTCCTCTTTGAATTCTTCATCTCTTGGTAACGTATTCTTTAGCCTCCATGTGTTTGTGTTTTTTACGTTTTTTTCCCTGTAATTCATTTCTAATTTCATAGCGTTGTGGTCAGAAAAGATGCTTGATATGATTTCAACTTTCTTAAATTTACTGAGGCTTGATTTGTGACCCAAGATGTGATCTATCCTGGAGAATGTTCCATGTGCACTTGAGAAGAAAGTGTAATCTGTTGTTTTTGGATGAAATGTCCTATAAATATCAATTAAATGTATCTGGTCTATTGTGTCATTTAAAGCTTGTGTTTCCTCATTAATTTTCTGTCTGGATGATCTGTCCATTGGTGTAAGTGAGGTGTTAAAGTCCCCCACTATTATTGTGTTGCTGTCAATTTCTTCTTTTATAGCTGTTAGCAGTTGCCTTATGTATTGAGGTGCTCCTATGTTGGGTGCATATATATTTATAATTGCTATATCTTCTTCTTGGATTGATTCCCTTGATCGTTATGTAGTGTCCTTCCTTGTCTCTTATAACATTCTTTATTTAAAGTCTATTTTATCTGATATGAGTATTGCTACTCTAGATTTCTTTTGATTTCCATTTGCATGGAATATCTTTTTCCATCCCCTCACTTTCAGTCTGAATGTGTCCCTAGGTTTGAAGTGGGTCTCTTGTACACAGCATATATATGAGTCTTGTTTTTGTATCCATTAAGCAAGGCTGTGTCTTTTGGTTGGAGCATTTAATCCATTCACGTTTAAGGTAATTATCGATATGTATGTTCCTATGACCATTTTCTTAATTGTTTTGGGTTTGGTTTTGTAGGTCCTTTTCTTCTCTTGTGTTTCCCACTTAGAGAAGTTCCTTTAGCATTTGTTGTAGAGCTGGTTTGGTGGTGCTGAATTCTCTTAGCTTTTGCTTGTCCGTAAAGCTTTTGATTTCTCTGTTGAATCTGAATGAGATCCTTGCCGGGTGGAGTAATCTTGGTTGTAGGTTCTTCCCTTTCATCACTTTAAATATATCATGTCGCTCCCTCTGGCTTGTAGAGTTTCTGCTGAGAAATCAGCTGTTAACTTTTTGGGAGTTCCCTTGTATGTTTTTTGTCATTTTTCCCCTTGCTGCTTTCAATAATTTTTCTTTGCCTTTAATTTTTGTCAATTTGATTACTATGTGTCTTGGTGTGTTTCTCCTTGGGTTTATCCTGCCTGGGACTCTCTGTGCTTCTTGGACTTGGGTGTCTATTTCCTTTCCAATGTTAGGGAAGTTTTTGACTATAATCTCTTCAAATATTTTCTTGGGTCCTTTCTCTCTCTCTTCTCCTTCTGCGACCCGTATAATGCGAATGTTGTTGTTTTTAATGTTGTCCCTGTGGTCTCTTAGGCTGTCTTCATTTCTTTCCATTCTTTTTTCTTTATTCTGTTCCACGGCATGAATTCCACCATTCTGTCTTCCAGGTCACTTATCCGTTCTTCTGTCTCAGTTATTCTGCTATTGATTCCTTCTACTGTCTTTGTTAAACATTTCTTGCATCTTCTCTATCTTTTCCTCCATTCTTTTTCCAAGGACCTGGATCATCTTCACTATCATTATTCTTAATTCTTTTTCTGGAAGATTGCCTATCTCCACTGCATTTAGTTGTTTTTCTGGGGTTTTATCTTGTTCCTTCATCTGGGACATAGCTCTCTGCCTTTTCGTCTTGTCTATCTTTCTGTGAATGTGGTTTTTGTTACACAGGCTGCAGGACTGTAGTTCTTCTTGCTTCTGCTGTCTGCCCTCTGGTGGATAAGGCTATCTAAGAGGCTTGTGCAAGTTTCCTGATAGGAGGGACTGGTGGTGTGTAGAGCTGGGTGTTGCTCTCTGGTGGGCAGAGCTCAGTAAATCTTTAATCTGCTTGTCTGCTGATGGGTGGGGCTGGGTTCCCTCCCTGTTGGTTGTTTGCCTTGAGGAGACCCAACACTGGAGGCTACCAGGCTCTTTGGTGGGGCTAACGGCAGACTCTGGGAGCGCCTACGCTAAGGAGTACTTCCCAGAACTTCTGCTGCCAGTGTCCTTGTCCCCACGGTGAGCCACAGCCACCCCCCACCTCTGCAGAAGACCCTCCAACACTAGCAGGTAGGTCTGGTTCAGTCTGCTATGGCATCACTGCTCCTTCCCCTGGGTCCTCATGTGCACAGTACTTTGTATGTGCCCTCCAAGAGTGGAGTCTCTGTTTCCCCCAGCCCTGTTGAAGTCCTGCAATCAAATCCCGCTAGGCTTCAAAGTCTGTTTCTCTAGGAATTCCTCCTACCATTGCCGGACCCCCAGGTTGGGAAGCCTGACATGTGGCTCAGAACCTTCACTCCAGTGGGTGGACTTCTGTGGTATGTGTTCTCCAATTTGTGAGTCACCCACCCAGCAGTTATGGGATTTGATTTTATTGTGATTGTGCCCCTCCTACCATCTCATTGTGGCTTCTCCTTTGTCTTTGGATGTGGGGTATCTTTTTTGGTGAGTTCCAGTGAACTGTCGATGATTATTCAGCAGTTAGTTGTGATTCTGGTGCTCTTGCAAGAGGGAGTGAGCGCACGTCCTTCTACTCCGCCATCTTGAACCAGTCTCTCTGGTTTTAAACTTTTTTGACATCACCCATAGTAAAAAACACATTTTATTATCTTGACCCAGGACATCATATAAATATAAACATAAACATAAATATAAATATAAACCAAAAGTTTTACCAAGAGGATGCACTCAGATATATTTTATTCTAATCTTTTTTTCATTTTAATAATGGTTTTAACCCACAAAATTGATTTCATTGCCCAGACCTTGACCTGCAGTTTGAAAAATGCTGCCTTAAAGCATAAACTCACATTCAAAGACATGCCCTCATACTACTCTTGTATAAAGAGCCAACTGGGACAGTGCCCAACACATAATATGTGTTCAGGAAATATTTGTTGAACTTCTGGACTTTTAAGGAACCAATAATCCACAAGTTAAACAATTTGTTCTGTAAACTCTCCAGTTTGCTGTATGTGGAAAAGATAATCCTAATTCCAAATTTCAACAAGCAAATCATCCACAAACACAAAACTCTAAGTTGATTTCTGTTGTAAATCTAGACTTGAAACTCTAAATACTAGCAGACACATCATTCAACAAGCATGAGTTAAGTGTCTGTTCTGTACTGTGCAATGCCCTAGGGGCCAGAGATATAGAAACAAATCAGACCCAGCCCCTGCCCTCACGGATCTGGGATATGGTGGGAGACTGGGGGGTGAAGCCAGCTTCAGAATGCAGTGTGAAGAGGGTGGCACAGGCTGCATGGGAATGGAGGAAACAAAGTCAGTTTCCTAGAGGAAACAGTCAGTTTCCTGGGAGCCAAACCCGAGCCTATACTGGAAAGATGAATAGTAGTTAGATGGGAGGGTAAATAAAGGAGTGCTGTATCAGGCAAAGAGAATAACATGTGCAGAGTTGTGGCAGCCACAGTCGATTGTCCCCCTACAGCCGATCCACATGTTTCTTGTTGGTCGTGCCCCAATTACTTTTGGAGGGCAGGGGATTGTCCCCTGCTACTCCATATAATTCAGGGAAAAATCCTGACTAACATGAACCAGTTGTGATGGTCCCATTCTCCATGCCAGTTATTGGTTTAGGAATGGGCATAAAACTCAGATCTGGCTAATGAGATTCAAGGGCATATCTTCTGAAAGGGGACTTCAGGAAAAGTTGCCTTGTTCTTAAAAAGAGACTCATGGTAAGAAACATCCCTCATCTTCTACTGGTTGCTGCATTGTCTCTATGGGATGCCTGACTGTAATGCAGCCATGTAGTGACCATGAAGAGGGCGGCAATCAGAAGGATAGAAAGACCAGGGACCTCGGTGACCTTGGTGAGTAGCTAAACTAACCAATCCTAAAGCCACTCTATCCCAGGACATGATGTCATGTAAGATAAAAGATTTCCCTATTGTTAAAGTCAGTTGAGTCAGGGTTTTATGTTACTTGCAGTCAAAATGAACCTAAACTGATGCAAAAGCTGTGGAGATATAAAAGACATGTTCTGGTTTCTGCAAGGCAGGATTTGAGATGCAAAGGCCAGATCATACTATGCTACAAACTTCAGCTTCAAAATGAAACAAAAGTGACTGTTAAACATATGAAAAACTCAACCTCACTTTTAAAGAGAAATGCACTTTAAAGCTACAATGAGATGTCATTTTTCATCTCCCTATTGACAAAGATCAAAAAGCTTGATAATATCCAATATTGCCAAGGGGAAACCAGCACACCCATTTGTTGCTGATTATAAACAGTATAAATCTATGGAAGGCAATTTGGCCATAACTGTCAAAACTAAAAATGCACTTGACCCAACAACTCTACTTCTAGGCATTCATCCTATAGACACACTTCCATGTGAGCAAAATAACATGCACAATGCTACTAGTTACAGCATTGTTTGTAAATGCAAATTGGCTGAAAACTAGCCATTTGACCAGCATTAGGAAACCAATTAATAAATCACATTACATTCATATTGAATTATATGCAGCCATTAAGAAGAAGGAAACAATTGTGTTTGTACTGACATGAAAATACATCAAATAAATATTGATAAGTGAGAAAAGCAATATGCAGGATAGAATAATATAGAATGGTGCATTACTATTTGTGTGTGTGTGTGTGTGTGTGTGTGTGTGTGTGTGTGTGTGTGTGTTGGATATTTGAAAATGCAAAAACCATGTCTGGAATGATAAACAAGAAACTGATAACATCAGTTGCCCTCAAGAGGGAAGTTAAGTGGGTAGAAGTCAGAGGAGGAAAGAAGACTACTTTCATTATATAGCTTTTTGTACCTTCTGAATTTTATGCCATGTGTATATTTTAGCTTTTCAAAATGATTCATTAACAAAAGGAGGGGTCAATCTCAATGATAAAAAATACCTTAATTGAAGAATATCATAAGATATTAAACTAGAAAATTTTAAATTATTTTTATAAATGCAAAAGGGTATTTAATTTTCCATATTCATTCATTTTTAAATGTTAATAGAGGAATTCCCTGGTGGCCCAGTGGCTAGGACTGTGCGCTTCCACCACACAGGGCACGGGTTCGATTCCCGGTCAGGGAACGAAGATCCCCCATGCCGCGTGGTACGGCCAAAAAAAAAAAAAAAATTTTAATAGAGATAGAATGAGTCTTCTTCACATAAGAAAGAGTGCCTAATATTGGACATCATATTCAATGGTGATTTTGTAGAAGCTGTTGTCACTTCTTAAAGATCACAACAAGATGTTATCCAAGAAACTGGAAATAAAGTTGATTTCAATATTAAATTGGTAAGATTTCCCCCATCACAAACATGACTGGTTATATACAGAGGTAAATCTAGAGGTTGTAAATTTGTGACTGAAAGGTTGAGAAGAGCCAGCATTCCAGCCCAGGTGCTCCGGGAGTAATTTCAGGGGAGCACGGAAAGAATGCAACAGTAGTGCAGAACACAGAAACTTACACGTAAGTTGAAAAAAGACCCAGTACATACAAGGGAATTAGTCAGCCAAGCAAGCACACCAGTTCCCCCTAAACACAGCTAAGGGAAAGGAATCTCTTTACTAAGCAGACTCCCACATACACTTCCAGCCATAGAGGGGTGTGATCTGACTTAGCTGAGAAACACTTGAGATCAGCTCCGTCCTTGGTCTGATTTCATGCTTCCTAAGCATTGCCTGATAATCTGGCTGCCCCTGAGGCCAATCTAAGGAGACAAAATATGATCGTCAGGCTGACTTGAGCAAGCATTCTGATCCACTCAAAAATGTCATTAAGACTTTAGCTAGTAACAGAACAAAGATTTGTAACAAAACAATTCACAAAAGAACAAATATTAATAAATATGTAAAAATATTTCAATTTTACTAGTTATCAAAGAGAAGCAGATTAAAAGAAGCGTGGTATTTCTTTCACTAAATTAAACTTAACCACCCCCCAAATTAAAATGCAAATTTCTAAATCAGGAGCTGATGATATTGGCACCTGTATTCATGGTGGGTAGTATCATAAATAGATGTAATCAATTAGGAAAATAATCAAGAGTTCTAAAAATGTTCATGTCCTTTGACCTAATACATCTCTTTTAGAGAATGGATCCAGGGCAGAGCAGCAGAATCATGAAACCATTGCCAAAGTCCAGGGTTCCATCCTGACATGGCCTCCCTGTACGGGGCCTTCCCAGGCCATATTCCTATGTCTGTGCTTTTCAGTACAGTAGCCACTAGCCACATGTGGTTACTGAGCACTCGAAATGTTGCTAGTCCAAATTGAGATGTGCTGTAAGTGTAAAATATACACCAAATTTCAGACTTAGGGGGAAGAAAAAAAAAGAGAGAAAAATAGATCACTAATAATTTTTATATTGATTATATATTGAAATGATAATGTTTGGATATTTGGCTTAAATAAAATATACTATTAAAATTAATTTCTTATCTTTACTTTCTTTTACTTTTTTAATACGGCTAAGAGAAAATGTTAAACTACCTATGTGGCTCACATGCTATTTCTTTTAGACAGCACTGTCCTAGTATTTCTGTAACATAATGTGACCAGCATCTTAGGTAATCAGCTCTATTTCTAATCAACATGGTTCTCTGTAGCTAGTGCTGTGGCAAGGCTGACTTGTTTTCTAGAAAAAGGAAGAGGAAGGATAAATGTATGACCCGGCAGAGGAAAGGGCCTCTGCCATAATTTTTCCCCCAATGCCCTTGCTCCCATGCCTGAAATTCTCCATTGAGCCACAATGTTGGGTTGGGTTGTTGAAATGGAAGGAAGCCACCTGGCAGTGACTGCTTTCCCAGACTTATATCCCTCTGTCTCCCACATCCCTCCACTTGGGTCCATCCATGATGTCACCAGAAAGATCTACGAAGATAAAAAGGTCATATCACGCCCCTGCTAAACATCCTCCAGCTACTTCCCTTGTGACTTAGAATAAAATCTGCATGCCTACCTTGGCCCCAAAACCAAAGGACATGGCCTTGCTTCCGTCTCTGGCCTCTTCCTTCTCCTTTCTCTCCCTAGGCTACAGCCACACCAGCCTCATTTCACTTTGTCAACCTGACTGACTCCTTTCCCTCTTTAAGTCTCCTGAATGTACAATTCCCAACCTCAGGAAGCCTCTCTAGTCCCTTTCTAGCACATCAGTGTATTTTATTTCCTTTATCATACTTACAGCTTCCTGAAAGTATTCTTATTGTGTTTCCTTTGTTACCACCTGTCTTTCCTTCACAAGGTAATAAACTCCATGAGAAGAGGGATCCTGTCTATCCTGTTCACTGCAGCATCCCCCATCTTAGAACAGCATCTGGCGCATAGTAGGGGCTCCACAAATATTTGTTGAACAAGCCTATGAATGAATGCCAAATTACTCCACCTACTCTTTCCCAAATGTGCATTGATTTCTCTTGTCTCAAAGGAAATCTTGCCTCAAAGTATCTTTGATTTTGCTATGTCTTCCTACCTAAGGTCTTTATTCCTCATCTAAAATGACTTACTTTCCACTTCAAGCAAAAACTATCCAACTCAAAAGCGTTTGATGAGGGACTTCCCCGGTGGTCCAGTGGTAAAGAATCCACCTTCCACTGCAGGGGACGTGGGTTCAATCCCTGGTCAGGGAACTAAGATCCCACATGCCGTGGGGCAACTAAGCCCATGCGTCACAACTACTGAGCTAGCATGCTGCAAACTACACAGCCTATGCGCCCTGGAGCCCACACACCACAGCTAGAGAGAAGCCTGCGCCACAACGAAAATAAAAGATCCCGCATGCCTCAATGAAGATCCCACGTGCCGCAACTAAGACCCGACGCAGCCAAAAAATAAATAAATAAAATAAATAAATATTTTTTTAAAAGCATTTGATGATAAGGAGGGTATTTTTTGTTTTTTGTTTTTTTAATCTCACATAATAAGAAGTCCAGAAGTGGCACAATTCCAAGGTTGGGTAACTCAGTGACTCAACGATGTCCTCAAAGAACCATGCTTTTTCCAAACTTTTTCCTCTGCCACCCTCAAAATGTGGCTGTTGACCTCATCTTCCCCCTTTATGTTTGCAAGATGACAATGGCAGCTTGAGTACCATGTCCTTACACGACAGCATCTCAAATCCAGGGCATCTCAGACTCAGAAAGTTTCCCAGAAGTCCCTTCTTCAGAGTTCCCTTTTACATTCCATTGCCCAGAATTGTAGGGCATGCCCATTCCTAAACCAGCCCATTTCTAAACCAGTTACTGGCAAGAGCAAGGAATTTCCATGATTGGCTTAAAGAATCAAGATCTGCCTCTCTTGGGCTGGGTGAGTCCCTTGTCTCCTGTAGTAGAGGTACTAAAATTTAACAAAGGAGTGGGTTTGGGGTGGTGTGATGGGGTCTAGGAAGAAAAAATGTCTCAGAATAAGCCACTGAGAATTTCCACAAGCCACAAAACCCTACTAGTTTTTTCAAGTGCAACTCAAATCTTAGGTCTTTCATTAATCCTACTCTGATTAGCTGAGCCAGAAGCAGCCACTCTCTCCTATGAATGTAAAACCTTCATTTCAGGTAAAAAATTTTGGTGTCATTCCTAATTTCTCTGTTTATAACCCCATACCTTAGCTATTTTGTCTACCTTCAAAATATATGCAGAATTAAACCTCATATCACCAACCTCAGTCCTATCACTTCGGTCCAAGCCATCATCATTTCACCCCTGGATTATTATAGTAGCCTCCTGACTGGCCTCAGGCTTCTCCTCTTGCACCCCTAAATCTACCCTCACACAGAATGATCCTTTCAATGTATAACTCAGATCACGTCACTGCTCTGCTCAAAACTCTCAAAACTCTCTAATGGCTTCAGAATAAAATCCAAAATTCTTCCCACAGCCTCCAGAACATTGGTGATCTACACTTGTCCCTTCTCTAACCTTATATCTTGCCCACCCCCTCTCACTCACTGCCCTCCAGCCACACTGGCCTACTTGTCCTTCTTAGAACCCACCAAGCACACTCCCGCCTCAGGGCCTTTGCACTTGCTATTCAGCTTGCTTGGAAAATTCTTCCAGATATTCTGATGTCTTGCTCTCCCTCTTTCTTCAAGTTTTGACTCAAATGGCACCTTATCTGGGAGGCATTCTCTGACCTTCTATCTAAAAAAATTCACCTTACTCTACTTCATTTTCCCTCAGAGCACTTGTCACAAGTTGATGTATTATATATTTATTTGTTAACACTGTCTTGTCTCATTAGAATCTACGATCCATGAAGCCAGGGGTTTTATCTGTTTTTTCACTGGTTTAGCATGTAACATAGCATATAACAAGCACTCAATATATATTTATTGAATAATTGCATAATCCTTTAAGCTTTGTTATCTGTTTGATTCACTTGACATGGTCCAAAGCTATTACCTTTGCATGTGCATGTCCTGTCTCTTCAAGCTTCTTAAGGGCCAGAGCTGAGTCTTAAAGCACAATGTCTGGTATAAAGAGGGCATTCCAAAGTTTATGCTGTTGACAGATTTGGAGAAAAAATATATTAGGATAATGAGAGTTATCATTTTTCTAACCTGGTCTTGGCAGGATGATGAGAAGATGAAGTACGGGATAGGACAGCACATTTAAGAGAGGGCTTGGGGTTTGCCCTTAGAATAGGGTCCAGATTAAGTCCTTGAGGAAGAGGAGAGAAGCATCTCTCTGAAACTGAAAGGAAAATACAGGAACACATTTCCTCCTCCACAGTGTCCCCTGGAACTGGTCTTTCCAAGTTTGTTCACATTCTAACAGTACAGGTATATGTTAGAGATATTGTGGGTTCAGTTCCAGACCACTGCAGTAAAGCAAGACACAAATGTTTTGGTTTCCCAGTACATATAAAAGTTATATTTACACCATACTGCAGTCTAATAAGTGTGCAATAGCATTATATCTAAAAAATCAATGTACATACTTTAATTAAAAAACACTTTATTGCTAAAAAATACTAACCATCATCTGAACCTTCAGTGAGTTGTAATTGTTTTGCTGGTGAAGGATCTTGACTCGATGTTGATGGCCACTGACTGATCAGAGTGGTGGTCGCTGAAGCTTGGGGGTGGATGTGGCTATTTCCTAAAATAAGACAACAATGAAGTCTGCCACATAGATTGGCTCTTTCTTTAATGAGCAATTTCTGTGTAGCATGCAATGCTGCTTGGTAGCATTGAACCAACAGTAGAACTTCTTTCAAAATTAGTCAATCCTCTCAAAACCTGCCTCTGCTTTATGAGCTAAGTTTATGTAATATTCTAAATCCTTTGTTATCATTTCTACAATCTTCACAGCATCTTCACCAGGAGTAGATTCCATCTCAAGAAACCACTTTCTTTTCTCATCAATAAGAAGCAACTCATCTGTTCAAGTTTTATCATGAGATATAGTAGCAATTCAAGTCACATCTTCAGGCTCCACTTCTAATTCTAGTTCTCTTGCTATTTCCACCACATCTGCAGGGACTTCCTCCACTGAAGTCCTGAACTGCTCAAAGGCATCCATGAGGGTTGGAATCAATTTCTTCCAAACTCCTGATAATGTTGGTATTTTGACCTCTTCCCATGAATCATGAATCTTGTTAATGGCCTCTAGAAAGGTGAATCATTTACGGTAGGTTTTCAATTTACTTTGCCCAGATCCATCAGAGGAATCACTGTCTATGGCAGCTATAGCCTTATGAAATTTATTTCTTAAATAATAAGACTTGAAAATCAAAATGACTCCTTGATCCATGGGCTGCACAATGGATGTTGTGTTAGGAGGCATGAAAACAACGTTCATCTCATTGTACATCTCCATCAGAGCTCTTGGGTGACCAGGTATATTGTCAATAAGTGGTAATGTTTTGAAAAGAATCTTTTCTCTAAGCAATAGATCTCAACAGTGGGCTTAAAATATCCAATAAACCATGTTACAAACAGACATGCTGTCATCCAGGCTTTTTTGTTCTTACAGAGCACAGGCAGAGTAGATTTAGCATAATTCTTAAGGGCCCTAAGATTTTTGGAATGTTAAATGAGAACTGGCCTCAGCTGAAAGTCGCCAGCTGCATTAGCCCCTCACAAGAGAGTCAGCCTGTCCTTTGAAGCTTTGAAGCCAGGCATTGACTTCTCCTCTTCAGCTACAAAGTCCTAGGTGGCATCTTCTTCCAGGACAAGGCTGTCTTGTCTACACTGAAAATCTGTGTTTAGTGTAGCCACATTTATTAATGATCTGAGCTAGATCTCCTGGATAATTTGCTGCAGCTTCTACAACAGCACGTACTGCTTCACTTTGTACTTTTATGTTATGGTGACGGCTTCTTTACTTAAACCTCATGAACCAACCTCTGCTAGCTTCACACTTTTCTTCTGCAGCTTCCTTTTCTCAGCCTTCCTAGAATTGAAGAGAGTTAGGGCCTTGCTCTGGATTAGGCTTTGGCTTAAGGGAATGTTGTGGCTGGTCTGATCTTCTATCCAGACCACTAAAACTTTCTCCATATCAGGAATAAGGCTGTTTTGCTTTCTTATCATTCATGTGTTTACTGGAGTAGCACTTTTCATTTCCTGCAAGAACTTTTCCTTTGCACTCACACCTCAGCTGACTGTTGGGCGCAAGAGGGCTAGCTTTCAGCCTATCTCGGCTTTCAACATGCCTTCCTCACTAAGCTTAATCATTTCCAGCTTTGATTTAAATTGAGAGATGTAGGACTCCTCCTTTCACCTGAACACTCAGATGCCATTGTAGGGTTATTGACTGGCCCAATTTCAATACTGTTGTGTCTCAGGGAATAGGGAAGCCCGAGGAGACGGAGAGAGATGGGGAATGTCTGGTTGGTGGAGAAGTCAGAACACACACAACATTTATTGATTAAGTTCACCATCTTACATGGGCACAGTTCATAGCACCACAAAACCATTACAATAGTAACATCAAAGATCACAGATCACCAAAACAACTATAATAATAATGAAAATGTTGAAATATTGTGAGAATTACCATAATGTGACACAGAAACACGAAGTGAGCAAGTGCTGTTGGGAAAATGGCATCGATAGACCTGCTGGATATGGGGTTGCCACAAACCTTCAATTTGTGTAAAAAAAAAAAGCAATATCTTGGAAGTGAAATAAAGCAAAGTGCAGTAAAATAAGGTATGCAACTGAATAGGGCCTCACTCCGGCAAAGGTCTACTTAAGAGAAGCTAAACAGAAGAGAGCAAAGCCACAAGTGGTTTAAGGTCACATGGAGTCACTGCTCAAATTTAGGAAGGAAATTCAGACTTACTCCAGGTCCCCCCAACCTCCCCCCGCCACCCAGTACTCCAACCTCCCAAGTACGCTGGGGAGGTCCCAAGAGGGGCGTTGGAGCCCCGGGAGAGCAGGTCCTGTTAGCCCAGCTCTCACTTCTGCCCACGGCTCTCACCCTAATTCTAGCAGCAGGGCCATTTACCAGGCTCCAGGGAACCAGGCCACTTTCAATTGTCAATAGCATTACACTTGCCAGAGGAGAAAGGGACAAAGGAGGAGACTGAAGACAGTGCTTTAAACAGAAGAAGAAAACGATATCATTGGCTGTGCCCTAAGCCAAAAAAGCAAATGCCAGGAATAACTGTGAGCGTCGTGTGAAGCCAAGTCTGCGCAGACAGGACCCGGGTGGAGGAGGAGGCAGGGCCTGAGGTGGTCTGAGGACGCAGAGCTAGCGCCCCAGGGGCAGGGCAGGAGGAGAGGGACATATCGTAAGCAACCTTAAAAGACTCATTTTAGCATTCCGCAGGAAATGAGAAGCAGATGGGTTGGTGTGGAACTTGTTTACGTGTTATTGGTCTCCGCGAAGCTTCCAGGGCAGAGTTAGGATTGGAAAAAAGGGGTATTTTAGGCAAATATTGACATGGTCTCCATTCTGAGAAAGTGGGGCCTCTCTTAATTGGATCATCTTCCCCTTGAGATACAGGCATTTAGGCTGAAGGACCCTCATTGCCCCATACTAGGGCAGGCCTGGCTAGGGCAGTACTGACCCGCTTGCACCTTCTTAAGGGAACTGAGTTAATACATCTTCTCTCTTGCTTTTTGTCCCTACTGGACAGAGAAGCAGAAACAGAGACCTGGACATGCGGAGGATAATGAAATGGTTCACATCAAAGGTCCTGAGGTTTGCAGAAGGCTTATTAGAACACAGATTACTGGGTCCCACCACCAGAGTTTCTACTTAGTAGAGCTAGGGTGGGGCCCAATGGCCACACATTGGATCACCTGGAGATTAAAATATACTGATGGCTGGGCCCTATTCCCCAAGATTCTGATATTAACTGATCTAGGATATGACTTGGGTGTTGTCTAAAGCTCTCTCTGTATTTCTAAGTTACAACCAAGGTTAAGATTCATAGACCTATTTCTCTTTGACCTGCCATCGTCATTACATCCGTGGCTTAATTTCAACCTACCTTCAAAATATGGCCTCCAGATGGTTAGGACGACAGGAGACCATGGGATCCAAATCTGGCATAAACCGAGATTTGGGAAAAGAGGCTAAAAAAAAAAATCACTTTCTGAGACACAAACTATTAAAAATCTATGCAAATGCAGGCAATTACTCTCTTATGTAATCTGTCCAGGAAATAGAGCTCCTGAAAGATGTTTTGTTAAGTAAGTTGCTGCCAAGAGGCAGAGAAAGTAATCGTCTTTAATGCTTATCAAGCACTTACTACGTGCCATGCAGTCTTCCCAGTGCTTTCATTCTAAACTCATTTAATTCCCACAGTAACACGAAGGTAGGGGGTATCACCATCCCCAATTTAACAAATGAGGAAACTGAGGCCCTGGGAGGTGAAGTAATTTGTCCCAAATCACACAGTTAACAAGTGACAGAGCCAGCTCTCAAACTTTGGTGTGCGTCTGAATTACCTACAGAGACAGTTCAAAATACGACGACCAGGCCCCATCGCAGATCAATTGGATCAGGATCTCCTGCACTGGGTCTTTATCAAAATTGTTTTTAACAAACTCCTGGAGAGTCAGTGGTTCACCAAGGTAAAGAGACCATTGTTAGGATTTTAAATGAAGGCTTTGAAATTAGATTACCCTAAGTTCAATTCTTTCCCCATCACTTATAACTGGAATCTTTGAACAAGTACCTATCCTCTCCTCGACCTTTCCCTTCTTCATCTGGAAATGAGAATGATAATAGTTTGGGGGGTTGTTCTGAGGATTATGTGGGTCTAAGGCACAGAGTGCAGTGACAGGTCCACTGCCAGTGCAGCAGAAGGACATTGTGAGACATTAACTAGGTCTTCCTTGCACCCATCAACACTGCACACTTCACTGTCCTCTCCCACTGTGTCATCCAAGGCATGCCCTGGGCTAGGGAAAAGTGATGCTGCTACAGCTGGAATGGCAAGAAAGTCAGTGCTTAGCTTTTGATATTCAAATTAGAGTACTGAACACAAGACCTAGACTTGGGAGAAAGGACTTTCTGAGCTTTCAACAACTATTTGAGCCTAACCAGTAGACAAATAGGACTGATCCAAAAGAACCGCCCAAGATAACCAGCCCTCAGGCAGTCCAGTAGGGTTACCTGGACAGTAGGGATGCGTGGTCTCCAAGAGAGGCCCCAGCCCCCTGTCCTCTTCCCAGGGTGAATCCCCTCAGAAGAGAGGGAAATGTGGTTGGGGGTAGAACACCAGATGAGCTTTGAGGAAACTGAGAATGGAGGAGGCTTGTGTCTACTTCCTATCTAGGGAGGGCAGCTGACTCCACAGATGTGCTTATGCCACATTGATATGGGGTCAACAGAGAAGAGATGGCTTTACAGGTGATAAAGGAAGAGAACTCAGTGACAGCCTTGTTTCCTGTGGCCCCAAAGAGGTGTGGGAGAGGAGCTGAACCCTACTCATACTCTGAGAAGTTAGCTGAGAGTGACAGCCAGCAGCCCGAAGGAGTCACACCATGGAGGAACAACCATGGATGGCAGAACAAGCTAAGCAAACCGGATGGGCACGCAGCCACCTTTGAGGATAACTCTGGACGCCAGTGGGGAGGACCCCATGATCAAAGACGAGATGGGGCAGCTACTCATCTTGGGAGCTACCAACACAGAGCACATGGTGTTACATGGTCCCCCCTCTCTCACTCCGATCCCACTGAGATTCCATCTAAAGTAGAGCAAGGGAGAGAATGTGAGTGTGAATTAATCTCCTTGGTCGTTCCTAGATTAATTTTTCTGCATCGCACAGAAGGGGAGTCTGAGATGAAAACTATTCTGTTTTAGAAAATCAAAGACACATATGTATGTACCTGAAACTATCTTGTAAAATTAACATCTACTAGTTAAGACTATCAAGTTTCCTAAACCTCAAAAGACATCTAGCAAGACTCCCTCAAAATATAAATTGATTTAATCAGCAGAGTCAGCAGATATCTTGGAAATGGCAGCATGTCTATGATGAGGAGTAAGATTTTGGTGACTTGTAAAAAATTTTTTTTAAATAAATATTGAAGGGCTTCCCTGGTGGCGCAGTGGTTGAGAGTCCGCCTGCCGATGCAGGGGACACGGGCTCGTGCCCTGGTCCGGGAAGATCCCACGTGCCGCGGAGCGGCTGGGCCCGTGAGCCACGGCCGCTGAGCCTGCGCGTCCGGAGCCTTGCTCCGCAACGGGAGAGGCCACAACAGTGAGAGGGCCGCATACCGCAAAAAAAATAAATAACTATAAATAAAAATAAATAAATATTGAAAAAGGAGAGTTTAAGCCCAACATTATTGCAACACTATTGGGGGGAGAGAGAGACACTGTGTCTGACTGGATTGCTATTCCAGGTTCTGGGTGGTGTCCCTGTAGTCAAACACGCAGGGTTCCCATGTTCTACTGCAGCCTGGATGCACAGCCCGTGAGCCTGCTTTACCACTTTACTACGAGGTGGGATTCACCAACCATGGCAAACTTGGTTTTCCAAACACCTAAAGGACAGTGGTACAGACAGTAGGCGCAAGGACTCTATTATGTGGAAAGGTGTACCCTGCCCTGAAAATCCACACACTGGCATTCTGACTTATAAATAAGTCTCTGGTGAGTTAATTAATGGAAGCCTCCTAGATTGGGTTGCCAGATTTAGCAAATAGATATACAAATATTGCAGGGGCAATACTTATACTAAAAAAATATTCATTGTTATCTATCGAACTCAGAACTGACTGCCCTGTATTTTTTCTGTCAACCCTACTAGAGCCTGCTCACTGCCAAGTGGACTGATAAAACGGAGGTCTGCATACACAAGACTGAGAGCCAGTGCTGCCTCTGAGACCACCTTCACCAACACCCTATGGAGGGCTCACCTAAGGTACCAGCCCGGGGTTAGGGTTAGTCAGTCTCTCTCTCTGTGTCTCTTAATCTTTATTCACTCAAAACCTTCTCTTCATTTATACACAAAGTAAATAACCTTCCTTATTAAGCTTCTCAAGTCTTTTACTACCTGTTCACTCCAAGACCAAATTTACAACTTGGACAATAAATGCATAAAATTGAAAGCCACTTCTTGGTGGCTTCCAAGGAGGTAATTAACATTATCAACAACATCTATTACGATGTAAGATTAGTTTCTTCCCTGCAGTTGCTAGTTAAATATGAAGTTTTATTAATCTTTCAACGAAGAAGTTTTCTGTCCCTTGACCTGAATTTTATCTTTTCCCTGGTTTTTGACTCAACCACAACCCTAGTCTTTATATCCATTGCATGGTGGGATCCCCAGGCTTCAGATCACCTTCTAGAAAACTCGGACGCCTGTGGGGAGGACCCCATGATCAAAGACAAGATGGGGCAGCTATTGATGGATCTCTGTAGGGCCATTTCATTTGTGCTTAGGGAAAGATTAAAGTAGGAGGAGCACCGCAGAACAAGCAGAGGAGCAGATTTGGTTTACAATTCAGTGAGCAAGAAAAGATCTTTCTCTTTATCCAAGCCAGCTCTCCTTCTCGGCACTAACATATCACAGGAAATCAGTGTCTTATACTTGACTGTGCCTTCCCTTTGTCATCTTCTAAAGAGGTCTCTGCCCATAGAGAGACAATATTGATTCGTTATCCCCAGACCAGTTGGAGCTAAGTTCATGCTACTTGACTCAAGCCATCATCAGCCTCCTCCATTCTAGAGATAAACTGCAACTTTTGCTAAGGAACTTGAAGAGTGTCTCTGGTGAAGTAGGATTTAGGTCATTCCTCTGGAATTCTGGTTTTAATTCATTGCTGGCATTTCTGAAGTAGTTTAGGGTGAACATCTGAGATAAATGAGTCATCTCAGTCCTTCTATTTCTTCTATTTCCTATTATTTTCTAACTTAAACATTTCAGAACTAAGAATTAATATATCTTCCCAATGCTGGAAACAGGCAAGTCATTCTGTAAAATATATTGGGAAATTAATGGACTTCCATCTGGGGAGAAGTAAACAAAAGTAGATTATGATTATATACATGCCTGTTTATCTATAGGCCTACAGTATTGGGAGCTGAAGAATGGTTGAGCAGTTCTAAGCCAGGCTTGTCATTAGGTTAAAAAAAACCCCAACCACCCAACCACCAATTTGGTTTTTCTCCAACTGTCAGCTGGAAGCAGGGAGAAGTGAAACGTTAAACTGAACCAAAAAGGGACTTGGAGTTTTTTGAGGGGTGTTTTAAAGAGCTAAAAGGTGCCCCTTGTTCTCCACCAAGTCAACCGTCCTTAGATTCCGGGCTCCCAGGAGAGGTTGGAAGAAATCTCTGCTCCCATTGTGGCTGTCGCCTTATTTGGTGAAATAGATGTGATTGGGAAACTTCCTCAGATCAATCACCCAGGTGGTTCGGGGGACAAAGGTGACCAGAAGCAAGGCCCAGAGGGGGCTAACAACTCCTTCCACGGTGAGCACTTGACAGCAGGCAGGACCAAATACATTATCAACCTCAGTGTCTGCTCTTCTCCCGGCCCAAAGTGCAAACGTTCTCCCCTAGCTATGGCACAAGAACACTATGAGAAGCATCCAATCCATTCCTATATAAATGTATCTTCACATTACATATGGTATTTTGATAACTAATATGAGTACAGCACCCTATATTTGTAAAGAGCTCTCAGATACATGATATTATTTGATCTGGTTACATACAGGCCTTATCAAGATGAGCAGGTGTCAGGAGCAATCAGGAAACAGTGGGGGTACTGACGTTCCCCACAACCACTGGGTCAGAGAAACCCGTCAGTATGATCTTACAAAGAAATTCAGTTCATTTGATAACTGAAAAAAAGAAAATTGCAGGATAGTTTGTACATCGTGAGCGCATTCGTGCAAAAGAAATATGGTTATGCCTATATATGTACACACACAGATAGCTTTACTCATTGTATCTATACTCACATATGCAAATATATAGATACATGTATATGAGTATATATTCAAATGTTTATATATACAATTTTACAATGAATATTATTATTTTACGTTGTTAATTTTATAGATATTTTTCCATAACAGCTTATAGAAAAAAACCGAATGAATTTTTTGGCCAAACCAATATATTTATAATATTTATAATATATGATATTTTATAATTAAAGAACATTATAACAAGGTATGTTTAAGAAAAAAGCTAATTGGTGTTAGCATTTCTTTTTCCCACCCTCACTTAAGGGAAGAGAAGTGGTTGTTGTTAAACGTGTAGATTGTACTATATTTGGCAAATTGGCCTTAAAAGGGAGGACTCTGATAAGGCCAGGACCCCACTCCAGTAGTTTTGTCCCCTTGGCCCTGTACAAACCCCATGTTGCAGAGGGCTAGCATGACAGCTGTGTTGTTGAAGGACATCTGTTTCTGAGAACAACTCAAACTCATCCATGGGTAGTTCAGTCCATGCTTAAGTCAGAGGATCAAAAATATAAGGCTGTACATACCCTCTCTCTGATCAACTAATCATACAGCCGTAGATGTGCACACATTAGGGTTAAAAGAGAAAACGATGGCAAGTCCTGCACCAACTTCCAGGAAGGTAAACAGGTGGAGTGGGAAAAATAGGGAATACGAATCGAGCACTTGTGAGTTTGAACCCCAGCTCTGCTGCTTACTTACTTGTGTCCACAGGCATGATCTTAGGCTCTTTGGGCTTCAGTTTCCCTCTGTGTTAAATGTGCCCAATAATACCTATATCACAGGACTATTTCATATACACATCTCAAGTGACACTCTCTAGAAAGGATGCTGAAAGCTTGGTTGTCAGAGCACACCAGGCGACCAATCAGATTTTGCTGATATCCCACATTCACTGCATCAGATAGAATTTCTGCTTCTTTGTGTACATTGTAGGGTTACTCCTATGCATTCGTCACAACTGTGAACAAATTGGGTGTGTTTTGTTTGCCAGGAAGTAACACTGTCAATCCTTCTACAAACAAACTAACACAAGAGGTTGCAGTTCTGCAAATAAACCCCACATCCTTCAAAAATGAAGGAAGCTTTGAGAGACACTCAGGAGAAGGAAAGAGACGGCCACAGTCCGCTCCCTTCCCTTTTCTAACGTAATCTTCATTAGAAGTCAGCCACCTATCCCACCCTTACACTTCCAAAGACCAAGAATACCATACCTAGGGAAGCGGACCCTGAAAGACATGACAGGTCTTCCTAGCCATCTGGGAAATTCCCTAGAAAAAGGAGGTTTGGGTGCAAGGAGATTCAATTTGCAAGAAGTTATACAATCTCTTTAGTCCTCAATTTCCTCAGCTGTGAAAGAAAGAACTAATGACTCCTAAATTCTCTTTTAATCCTAACATGTTATGACTATAATCCTCTCTCTCAATCCTCTCTGCTCTATTCCCATTGCTCCACCCTGGTCTGTGCAATCATCAGCTCTTCCCTGGGTTGTTGCAACTGCCTCTAGTCTTGCTCCTCCAAAATCACGCTTCACAGAGCTTGCAAGATGATCTTTCTAAACTGCACATCTGCCCCAGGTACTTTTGTGACTCTCCATTACCTCCAAAATAAATTCCAGTTTCTCAGCACAAGCCTCAAAGACGTGTCTACCTTCCCAGCATCATGTGTCACATCGCTACTCCTTGTAACTGAGCAAGCAGAACTCCTCAGACTTCCTCTCTCACCTCCACGCTTTGCTATTCCCTTTGAATGGAATGTCCCTCCCCACATCTGCCCAGCCAACTCTTCTTTCAAAGTTAGCTCAAGTAGCACATTCTCCAAAAGGCAATTAGATGTCCCTCCTCTGCACCCCAACAGGACCATGTGAAATAATTGTATCATAGCATGATATTTTCATACAGCATTTAGAGTTGCTGTTTCTGAGTAGAGACTGGCTTTCTGCTCTGGCAAAGGACTCAGTACTAGTAGCATCACTGGTGCAGGTGACGCTCATAAAAGGGGCAGGTACGCAGATCCTCTGTTCTCTCTGGATCCTGCAGAGAGGCAGGGTCGGGTGGGGTGTGGCTGGATGTGCTCTGGAGCAGCACTCCTAAGGAGGAATCACTTGTTGCTCTTCCTTTTCATAGGTCAGCTTGAGAGGGGCTGTGCTGAGGGGGTAAATATCTTGGGGTTCAGACACTAAGCAGTATGAGCTTAGGGGCCCATTGCTTAGGGAAGTGCTTGAAATGCCCAGCTTGAGGTCTCCTGGTCCCACAGGAAGTTGAGATTGGGTACAGCCGGTCCCCCTGTTGGAGAAAGAGGGAGCTAGCCCACTGCCTGGCAACCCAAGGAAAATCTCCTGGGATAATACATTGGTCAGTCCTACTGGTCAAACCACTTTCTACACATATGCCCCCAACCTACTATATAAGGTACCTAGTACCTAGTATTTTAAAAGCGCTCAGTAAATAATTACAGACGCCACTTACTGAGGGCCTATTGCACGCCAGTAACTTGATCTATTTTATTCCTAGTTCTCACAATGACTGTACAAGATTATTAGTTCCATTTTACAGATGAGGAAACTGAAGCTTGAGAAGGCTAATTGACTTGCCTAAGATCGTACGGCTAGTAAATGGTGGAGCTGGAATCTGAACTGACATCTCGATCACTCCAAAACCAGTGCTCTTCCTCCCCAAGCTATGTAGCCTCTCAGTGTCATGTTCTCTCCCTCTCTCTGCAGGGACTTGTCACTTATTGTGCTCAAATCCATGCCTTGAGTGCCCTCCTACTGAAATGTGTTCCTCCAGTGAGACCTCTGGACTCTTCTGCCTCATTATAAGCTGACCTGCAGTTTTTTCCTTACCTTCACCCAGTCTGATCTGCTCTCTACCCTCCAAACCCAGTGTGTACTTGAACTCGTCTGCTGTTAGTAGAAGTTCCAAGTAAGTATATGCAATGAAAAGTCAGGAGCAGGAACAACATGGCGTCTTGGAGACAGGAACCAAACTTGATTCTTTGGCAGGGCCCTTGGAGACAGAATGACCCCCGGTTAGCCATGTCTGGGCCCTGAAGTGAGAAAGGCCTCTGGCCTTTTCACTCAGCATGATGTCCAGGGAATGACCCAGAACATGATGACTCTGGCAGAGGTAGCTGCTCTATTCCCCAGGCACTTGTAAACCGGAACAATCACCATCTTCCTCCCCAACTCTTCATCAAAAGCTTTTATTAAATAGCCTAATTATTAAACAAGGCAGGTGGAAGAGAAAGGTAGGAAATTGGAGGGTTGAACTGAGCTTTTTCAAAAGCCAGAAAAATGACTCAGAGTGTGTAACACCTCATCTGGAGAACAAACTGGATGTTCCTGATGCAGCCGGGTGCATTGTTAAACCTGTGGAGAGAGATAGGGAACAGACCATTTTTTTTCTCTCTCAGTCACAAATAACTGCGAGCTCAGAGCCGAACTGGTGAGCTTCTAGAATAAATCCAGAAGATTTATTCTCCCAACAAGGGCCAAAGAACTGACAGAATCACAGGAGAGAAAAATATATACTATCCGTTCAAGTCAGTGTTTAGAATATTCTAAGTGGGAAGACATTTTATTAGCAAATCCACTAGACTATAAGCTCCTTGAGGTAAGAAATTGTGCTCTTATTTATTCTTGATTCTAGGATGGGGTCCAGTGCCGGGCACATAGTAGGTGCTCAATAAACGTTCCCTAGAATAAAGCTGAAGGCAGGAGCTGAGTCTTGTACGAAGTTGCATCCCTCTCAGCGCCTAGCACTTAATGAATGAATGACGGGAATTCATGAATGAGAAATGCCGTTTTAGACTTGCCTTTGAAGAAAAGCATACGCCTTTGCAAGCAGCGGTATCATCTCCCGAGTTATTCAAGAAGTCTGTGTTCACTTCCTAATTACATCTTGAGTTTTACCTCCTTAGAAGGCAGAACTTTTGCTAAAATAATCTGGCTGCTAATAAGAAACAGTTCTGCTGGCTTTTCTTCATCCTCATGAAAAGCCAATCTGTCCTGAACTTCTGGAGCCACCAAGGCACAGGCCAGGCCTTGGATTCTCGCGGGAGCTGGTCTAATTTGCTTCTAGCTTTTCCGGTTCCCTCCCTTCTACTCTCTCCCGTCCTCCTTGTTCTGGGTCTCGAGCCAGCTGAGTTTTGACTCCCTTTGTCAAGCAGCTCTGCTTCTGCCAATCCAGTAAACCTCACCTCTCTCAGTTTAGCGTATTTACAGAGACAGGACACCAGAAACATATGGATAGTCAAGAAAGCACATAATGTGTAGGAAACTGAGGCAGGAGCAGCGAGAGGCAAGAGCTCCTCCTCACAAGTATCCTGAGCAAGGGCTTGAGGGCCATGCTGGTTTTCTTCCCCCTCTCACAGAGACAGGTGCAAGTCACTGATGGGGCTTCGTGTGGGAGCTGAGTCTTATACAGCTTTGCATTCCTCTCAGTGTCCAGCACTAAATGAATGAATAACGTATTAGCTCCCCTCACAAACACATAAAACCTCTCTATTTCACAGCTGAGGGATGGAAACTCAGAGAGCTTAGTAGATCAGCCCCTCCAGGCTGAGCTAGGTTCCCCTTCTCCGGGCACCCCTGGTGGGACCTTACCTTAGCATTTATCACAATGGGATATCGTTATTTGTTTATATATCATTTTCTACTCAATTTTCTGTGTGCTCCCTGAGGGCAAAAACTGTGTCTTTCATCTTTGCACTTCTCAAGGATAAAGCCCTCAATAAAAGTTTGCTGAATGAATGACTTGCTCAGGGTCACCCAGCTAATACGAGGCTGAGCTGGGACCAGAACCAAGCCCTCTGTCCCCCCAAATCCTATATCCTTGCTGTCCTACCAGGACACTTTCTGGAAGAAAGTGGGAAGTGGACCTATAGAGAAGCTAATTAAGCATTTGGCAGGTTTATGAACTATGTTGAGAGGTTTTCTTTTTAACTTTCCTTTTCCTTCCTTCTTGATATTGGTGGGAATTCTAGGCCGCTACTCTGAGCTGAGCCAGGGTCACATCTATATTCTTGCTCCTGAAATAGCTGAATTCATCACCTCTTCAGAGGAGGAAGTCTCCCCAGATGGCTTTGAAGCTCCCTCTCCTGCCCTCCTGCCAGGTGTGAACAAACACTTCGAAGTAATTTGGGGATGACTGGGAGAAAATGTCAAAGGCTTTGATCCATGTTTCTTGAAATATTGGAGAGTTTTCTGTTCTTGTTGGTCCTGAACAACTAGGCTGGAAATTTCATGAGCAAAGGTTTGTTTCTCCCCTCATCTGGTCACACAGGTTGATTGTGGAGGACCTATTCTGGCCACCCACAAGCAAGATGCTGGTACCTGACTTTGATGAAATGAAGGTGGCCACGGTGAAGAAAGAGGTACTCAAGCCTGCACTGCTGCTGAGAGTGGAAGGAACTTCCTGGCTCCAGAGGAAAGCCCAGAATAGAAAGGCAGCAGGCACAAAGGGTCCTAAGGACTGTATTTGGAGTGGTCAAGAGTTCGGGCTCTGGGACTAGATATGCCTTAGGTTCCAGTCCTAGTTCTACCACCTACTGATCCTCTTACCCTGGGCACATTATGTAACATCTCCACGCGTCAGTCTTCATGTGCCAAAATCAATGAGCTAATCCATGAGGGTTTATTACTCTCCATAATAAACCCACCCAGTTGCATTCTCCACCCCTTTCTTCATCCCTGCTCTGTGCCCTGAGACTGAGCCTTAGAGACTGACCTCTAAGCCTGTATCACCAAGTGTCCTTTGTCCTCTGGCTTCTGGTTGGATTCAGCCAAAGGGGAGATACTAGTAGAAGAATAACTAATCAGAGGAATAAGAACCCATGGTATTTATTCCCCTGGCTTTCACAATGGTGGGCCACCATTTCAATAGAGGCTGTATACCTCTACCTCCATCCCCAGCTCCTGTCAGGCAGCCCTGTCCTGTAGCTAAGCTCTCTAAAGGTTCCATTAACTCTGCTTTCTCACCTTAGACCTTCACACCTAGAGATGCTCATGGCCTCAGCATCCCTTGTTGGGCACCCTAACCCTATGCATACTTCTGTATATAGTCCTTTTGTTAGATTCTCCCTATTTTACCACTTGAGTGTCCCATTTATCTCCTTTCAGGACCATGTACTAATGTGCCTGACATATAATAACTGTTCAATAAATGTTTCGTGTTTCTCCTCCTCCCCCTCCCCCATTCCTTCATTATCCTCACCATCCTCTTTATTATCTCAGTATAAAGCAGAAGAGCTAGAGGGAAATTGTACTGGTGGTCTACTGTTGTGTAACAAGTTATCACAAAATCAGCAGCTTACAACAACACACGGTCATTATTTCACAGTCTCTGTGGGTCAGGAGTCCAGGGCTGGCTTAGCTGGGTTCTCTGCTTTAGGGTCTCACCAGGCTGAAATCTGGGTGTTGGTGGGGGCTACAGTCCATCAAAAGCTTGACTGGGGCAAGATCCACTTCCAAGCTACCTCAGGTTGTTGGTAGAATTGACCTCTTTGCAGCTGTAGGACTGAGGCCCCCATCTCCTTGATGGCTACTGTCAGCTCCTAGAGGCCACCTTCAGCTCTTTGCAGTGAGATCCTCTCCAGTGGCCCTCTCACCACACGGCAGCTTACTTCTTCAAAGCCAGCAACAGAGAGAAAGTTTCTTGACTTCAGGGAGGGCCCAGGTCCTCTTTAAAGGGCTTCTACCTGATTGAATCAGACACACCCAGGATAATCTCCCTTTGTATTAATTCAAAAATCAATTGACTTTGGACCTTAATTACATTAAGAATCCCTCCACTTTGCCATATAATGGAAACTAATCAAGGGAGTGACATCCCATGACCTTTGCAAGTCACAGGCTCTCCCTGTGGTTCAAGCACAGGGGATTACACAAAGGTGGGGACACAGGAGACTGGAAATCATCGCAGGTCACCTTACAATGACACAGAGATCTCATCAGGAGGTAGAACAATATTCATTCACCAGCTACTTTTATACAGTCTTTCACTAAGGTTAGGAGAGGTGCAGGGGGAGACAGGTCTTGCCAGTGGGAAGGACAGAAGCTAACGCTAATGGAACACTTGCTTTGTGCCCTGCACTGCGTGCTCCACTTTCTACCTCTGGTCCTCTACCATCCCTATAATTGTCTACTATTCTTCCACCTTTCAAATGAGAAAGCTGAAAACAAAGAGTTTGAAGCAATTCACCCTAAGTCACACTGATACCACCTCTTCAATGGTTCTCAAGGCTTTAGATAAGAAGGAACAAAAGTTATGGAGGTCAATGTTTGGGAGCTAAAAGGGGCCCTCTATGTACATTCTTCTTTTTCATAGAGTCGGTATATATGATTTCAGGGAAAGGAGATTCAGTCTTTTTTTTTCTTCCCCAGAAAAGACTTTGCTAACCCCAATAGCATAACCACTTAGCACAAGAGTCATGTATCCAGAAAAAACATTTAAAATTCTCAGGTGGGTGAAAGAGCCACCACCCTGTGTATCTGTCAATGAACACTTCACTTCCATTCAGGATACATATGAAAAAAATCACAATTTATTGGGTTTTGGCTAACCCTATACTATGCATTAGTGTTTTTTCACTTTTAAAAGCATCTCCACATGTATTCCAAAGCTCTGTGCTTTCCCTTTTTAAAAAGGACCAACTTCAGAAATCTCTCAAGAGCATGAATATTTAGCTTCAGAACTGGGAACGGGATGGATTCTTCAAGGAAAAAAAATAACACTTTCCACCAATGCCAGGAACTCATGAGAGGTTCTTGGATCAGCAAGATTAGTACATCAGTTGGCAAAGTCTTTACTGGCCACTTTAGCCAGTATCTAATCTAGTATGCAGCCTGCTGCATAGAAGGCATTTGATAAAAATATGTTGAGTGACTGAATTAGTGAATGTATTTTTTGTTCCTAGCTACATG